AAACTCTTCTTTTTTTTTAAAAGGGTTAATCTCATTTTGTACCTCGAAAGATTGTTCGAATCTCAATTTGTATCCTCAAAGATCAAAAATCTCAATTTACACCCTCAAAGATAGAAATTTGTATCAATGTGCACCCCCAAAGATCAAAAATCTCAATTTGCACCCTCAAAGATAGAAATTTGTATCAATGTGCATCCTCAAAGATAAAAAATCTCAATTTGCACCTTCAAAGATAGAAATTTGTATCAATGTGCACCTAAAATTAAATTAATAAATTATATTTTGATCCCCTCATGTTTGTCACTTAATCATTTGAACTCCTTCACATTTAGAATATTCCTCTTACATCTCATGACGTTTATGCATGTGTAACACATAACCACTTTTCGTTGATATACATTAATATAATCGTTAAAAAATATGATTTTATCCTAATATAAAATTATAATTTTATATTACCTTTTATTTTGTGGATTCGATATACTCTAAAGTTGAAAATCAAACTTACCATTTGAATGTCTAATAAAATGTAAATATTTATATAAAATGTAATATGAAAAATATTATATAAATATTTATATTTTATTAGACATTCAAATGGTAAACTAGATTTTGAACTTTATAGCATATTAAACCTATAAAATAAAGGGTAATATAAAATTATAATTTTTTATTAGGATAAAATTATATTTTTTAACGGTTATATTAATAGATATCAATGAAAATGGGTTACGTGTTATACGTGCACAAATGTCATAAGATGTAGGAGTAATATTCTAAATGTGAAGAGGTCTAAATGATTAACTGACAAATATGAGAAGATTTAGGTATAATTTATCAATTTAATTTTAGGTGCACATTGATACAAATTTCTATCTTTGAGTGTGCAAATTGAGATTTTTTATCTTTGGGGTACACATTGATATAAATTTCTATTTTTGAAGGTGCAAATTGAGATTTTTGATCTTTGGAGGTGCACATTGATACAAATTTCTATCTTTGAGGATGTAAATTGAGATTCGAACAATTTTTCAGGGTGTAAAATGAGATTAACCCTTTTTTAAATCAAAACTCACACATACAAGCAGCAGCACACAACACACACACTGACCCACCCACACAGAGACACACACTGACAACACACGATACCAAGATTTGAAATGGAGATGAAGAAAAATCCCTAAATCTTAAACCCTAAATCTGAAATTAAAAAAAAAATCCTTACGTATGAAATTAAAATACATGGATACATATGAATCTACACATAAAGGTCAGATATATACATAAATAGGTGAAATCTTCGGATATATATATTTATGTGGACAGATCTTAAAAAACGAAAAGAAGTATCACCTTTTTGAAGTCAAAGAGCAGAGCTGGAGAAGAGAGCAGCGCCGGACTTACTTCGATGGGCGAGAGATGAGAGGACAGAGCACCTTCTTCAGCAATAGACAAGAAAGAGAGAAACATGTTGGGCAAAACAATTTTTTAAGTATAAAAATTAAATTTTTAGTAGACTTTGAGCCTAAATTAAAGTGGAACTCGATCGTTGTTTTGAGTAAATTTTTATGGGTTCATATTCTACTCTGTGAGGAGAATAATGTAGTATATTCACTTGCCTAAATCAAGTAAGAAATGAATGAGAAAATAAGTTCCAAAATGACCATCTTGAAATGTAAAAATAAAAGTTGCACAATGTGGAATTTGACACCAATCCCACATTGGTTGAGAAAGAAATATAACATGAGCATATATAGGTCAAGTTTACTCTATGAGATTGAGTCGCAAGGGATATCACAATTTCATGAGCAGAGCGAATGTCAACATGCCTTCGGTTTACCGCCTCATCGCGACCCCGACCCGACCGAGTATGGGTACGAGTGTGGTTTAGACCAAGCTCTATCTTTTTTGGAGAAAATTTGTTTAATTAATTGGGCGTGAATTTCTTAACCCGAAATTTAATTTTAGGTACTTGTTGGATCACACTGGTTCGAATTTTTACTTCCCTCTAATTTGAAATTGAGTTGTGTCTGTTCATACAAAACAACAATTACACAAGTAGTGTCTATTGACTATTGCATTGTCTTCTGGGTTGTGTCTTTTAATATGGTGAATATCCGAAAAATTACCAAAGTATCTATAAATGCCTAGGCTCATTATCATTCTACATTGATTCATTCATCAGTTCATGTTCAAAGTTAAGCAAAATATTAGTGCATTGCATTTCGGCATTAAAACAATCAGTATTTTGAAAGTACACAACACAATTTTTGATTCACTAGACGAGTAGATTGGGTGTTACGTCTACTCGTGTAAAAAATTATACATTAAAAAAATATGAAAAATTATTTATTTTTAAATATTAAAATTTTCATATTACATCAACAATATTTTTTGGTTTGGCTAACGTGGGTGGCAGCAGGGACTCAATTATTGACCAAAAAAAAATTCGACACTCAGCCCTATGATGTCTTTCATGTTGTAGGAGCAGGTGACACAATCACTTTTATATATATATATATATACACATATTATACATTATCCTAATCTGCTATAGTACAAACATACTTGCCAAAACCATTGAGCCATCTTCAATTGCAATATTTTATGTGATACAGGGATGGCAATTTTGACTGAAAATGTTAATTCCCACAAGAATGCGGAATATAAATGGGTTAAGTTAGTTTTAAATATATAAATAATTTGATTTTGAAAATAACAAACAAGGAAAAAAATATTTGTTTTTCATTCTCTTTGGTTTCTTGACCTTGTGTTATACAAGTTGTTACAAAATGAAATGGTTTTTGATTTTGTTTTGAAGGGATGTGAATTAAGTAGATTTTTAATTAAGACAGACCTACCATAGTAGTAGATTTAGTTGAGAAAACAAAATGGGAAACTAATAATGGAGTTTTTAGTTCAAAGGGCGGCTCAACACAAAACGGGATCTAAAGCGAAAATTTAAGTGAGGCCCTATTAATTTTAACACAAATTTTAAAATTAAATAATTATACAATATAGAAATATTAGTTATTTCTTGGGCCTGAAAACACAAAATAATAAAAAATGATAAACAATAAACATATTTGTATTCATATCCAAAATCAAATCACAAACAAAGAGAAGAGATAAAGAAATTTAAGCATCGATTTATAGTGGGGGTGAGAGGTGGTGGGCGGCAGTGAGGGTGGTAGGAGACAATGATGGTTATGGTGGGTGACAATGACCGTGGTGGTGGTGGTGGGGGCGACGGCGATGGCGGCAATGGTGTTGGTGCCGACAACAACGATGATGGTGGTGGTGGTGGTGGCGATGGTAGAGGTAGAGGTAGTGGTAGGGCGGTTTCAAACACTATTTTTTTTAAAGTATTTATGAGAAATAATTCTAAAAGTCACTTTAAACACAACGCTTAGGTACCTATTTTCTTATTAAATTTAAGTTGTTTAATATTAGTCGTTAGATTAACTTTACAATAAAATTTAAAAAGATCTCAACCGCGATTAGCAAAAGTTATTTTGTTTATCTTTTGAAATTTGAATTGTAAGCTACTTTATTATATAAACTAATTATTATCTGTGCCTAAAGGCACAGAGTAATAAAAAATGGTAAACAATCAACTTATTTGTATTCATATCCAAAATTAAAATCACAAACATAGAAAAGAGATAAAAGAATTTAAGCATTGATTTGTAGTGTGGGGAGAGAGGTGGGTGGGCGACAGTGGTGGTGGTGTCGATGGCGATGGCGGTGGTGGTGGTGGTAGTGACAACGACAATGGTGGTGGTGACGGCGGTGGCAGTGACGGTGATGGTAGGGGAGGTGGTGGCGGCGACAACAGTGGTGGTAGTGGTGGTGGCGACGGTGGCGGTGATGGTGGTGGTAGCGGTGGCAACGACGATGGTGACGGTGGTGGTGGTGGTGGTGGCAGTGGTAGAGGTAGTGGTGAATCGGTTTCAAACACTGATTTTTTTTTTACAGTATTTATGAGAAATAATTTCTAAAAATACTTTTAAAAAGTCACTTCAAACACACCATTAAGGGCTTATTTTTTCTATTAAATTTAGGGTGTTAATATTAACCGTTAGATTAACTTTAAAGTAAAATTTAAAGTGATTTCAACCGCGAATAACAAAAATTATTTTATTTATTTTTTAAAATTTGAATTGTAAGTTACTTTATTATATAGATTATTACCTTTTAGGATGCAAATGTTTTTATTAAATTTTTGTTTTCAAGTATTGTTAACATGTTTTTAAGATCCTTACATTTCTAATGCGACACTAATTTCTTTGCCTACCAATGTTGAAAAGCCCTAAAAAAAATTAATTTGGATTTGATTGAACATAAGTATACAAATTTTATTTAAGGCTTTAAAAAAAAAATTATGCTTAGTTCAATTGAGTCACAAATTTCTTTTGGGACGCCCTAAAAATAAAAGTTTATTCGAAGCCTAAAACTAAAATTAGACTTAATGAAACCTGTGTCTAAACATCTTATTTGAGGTACAAAATATAAAACTAGACTTAAATAAATATTGATCTAAACATTTTATTTGAAATTCTAAAAATAAAGTTCAAATTTTTTAAACACCCTTAAAATTTGGAAGTCTAAAGCGGTGGCTTCAAGACTATGCCATTGAGTGGCCCTGAGTTCACGAATTAAATATATCTAAATATGATATGACATAATTCGATTAAGACACGAAATTTCACGGACATGTTTAAAAAAAAAGGGGCTGCGAATAGGGAATCTTGCTCACAGATTAGACAAAGGTTTGTCAGCTAAGGCTGTAAGAAAATTTTGCTTTTAAGAGTCCAACCAAGGACAAGTTAACTAACCATTATTCTAATATTTTTTATTTTGCAATTAAAATAATTATAAACTAGCACATGTTAATTACCTAACACCACAAATTTTTTCGTTTTGTCTTTTTTTCATCTTGTGGCTCCCTCACCACTAATTGAGGTTCTATAAATTTGCTTCCAGGAGCTGGTACAAGTACGAGTAAAGCAGAGAGAAAATTCTCCTAAACACAGGAACAAATGGGTGCATTTGGCTACTTGGTGATTCTATGTCTGGGTGTTTTGGGGCTTGTAGGCTCTGTTCATGGTGATCTGGAGATGAATTTCTATGCCAAAAGCTGTCCAAAAGCAGAGAAGATTGTGTTGGACTTTGTCAATAAGCACATTCCAAATGCTCCATCACTAGCAGCAGCTCTGATAAGAATGCACTTCCATGATTGCTTTGTGAGGGTTAGTATATATCCACTGTCAAATCTCTATGTCTATGTTTGTATACTGTTAATTCAGGCGAAAACTCGAGGATCCATGGTTTCTGATAGAATCCTGTTCCACCCAAGTTAATTCAAAACATGTTTTCTCAGTAAGATATTCTGTTTTTCAAATTTTTTTTTTTTTTTTTTTTGCTCAGGGTTGTGATGGATCTGTTCTTCTGAACTTTACTTCAAGTACTGGGAACCAAACTGAAAAGCTTGCTCCTCCAAATTTGACAGTCAGAGGGTTTGATTTCATTGACAGAGTGAAGAGCATACTTGAAGCTGAATGCCCTGGCATAGTCTCTTGTGCAGATATCATTGCTTTGGTTGCAAGAGACTCCATTGTTGTCACAGTAAGTGTCCACATAATCAAAAACAACATAAACTAAGTCTCATATGTTTGTGATCCTATTCATTGTTGATCTTCTGCTTTGGTAATGATAGGGAGGTCCTTTCTGGAGAGTACCAACCGGTCGGAGAGACGGGCGGATTTCAAATTTCTCAGAAGCCTTAGCAAACATCCCTGCTCCAACTAATAACTTCTCCACCCTCCAAACAAGATTTGCAAACAAGGGACTTGATCTAAAAGATTTAGTTTTATTATCTGGTAAGCTAGCACAATCGATAAGATATATATTTGTTACAGTGAAACTCATAGCTGACCCCAAATAACTGAAAAATGTTCGTTGAGTTGAGTAAACATTGTTGTCATGATCAACTGTTTCAGGGGCTCATACCATCGGAGTGTCGCTCTGTTCATCGTTCTCAAACCGTCTATACAATTTTACTGGTGTGGGGGATCAAGATCCTGCTCTAGACAGTGAATATGCAGAAAATCTCAAAGCGAAAAAATGCAAATCGCCTAACGACAATACCACGATAGTAGAGATGGATCCGGGAAGTTTCAGGACATTTGATCTTAGCTACTATACACTTCTGCTGAAAAGAAGAGGCCTATTTCAATCTGATGCAGCCTTGACAACAAGCTCAACCACAAAGACATACATCACCCAACTTCTTCAAGGCTCACTCAAAGATTTCTTTGCTGAATTTGCCACTTCCATGGAGAAAATGGGTCGGGTTGATGTCAAAACAGGATCTTCGGGCGAGATTCGGAAACAATGTGCAGTTGTGAACAGTTGAAATCTTGGCATTGGAAGTTTCAATTATTTGTGTTGTATTTATGTATTTGTTTTGGTCTCCTTGCCAAGAGCTCTCCCATAGAGGAAGCAACACATCTGCTGTGGTGGGCATCTTTTTTTCTTTCACAACAAGACATGTACGGTTATACCTACCCTTAATGGCTTACAAGTTCATGTCCTCGTCCCTGGATAGAGTTTCCTTTAAGTGCATGATTGTGGTGCATTATTATTTTCTTTTTGTACTCCCGACCATGTTCGTGCAATAGAAAACAGCATTCACATTGAATAAAGTACTGGGTATCTTGTTCCCGTTTGGTACCATTTTTTTTCTACCTCTTTCTTCTTTTTTTATTTCTTGGGAAGACCAAAAGAAAAAGAAAAGGATAATTATATACAATCAATATTATATGAATGATTCTTTGACTATAATCTCCGTGGTTTCAATTGAGGGCCAAAGTTGTCATTCTCTTTCTCACTGATCCATCAGAGGACACATTCACTGCATATTAGGTGAGTTCATCCTCTGAGTTTCATGTCTTTTCTTCGACGTGAATGTACTTTTGAGGTATTTCATAGATGCGTTCGACCAAAGGCCGCCCAAGGTTTTTTTTTTTTTTTTTTTGGAGAGAAGAGAGGGGGGAAGGAGAGAGGGAGGGGGACATGAACCCTTGACTTCAAGAAAGCAAAGTCTTTACAAGATAAGGAGTATCATTGGATCAAAAGTCCATTGGTAAGGCCACCCAAATTAAAGCGAGGTCCTAGGCAAAATTTTTATATGAGGTCCTGCAGGGGATAATTCCTGCAATAGTATGAGATAACGATCTCCAATCTGGCAAACCTGAAACAACAGGGTCAGAAAAAAGGAGGTCAGACGTGCACCCGGCTAATCCCCTTCGAAGTTTAAGTCAGTATAAGGTCGAAGGGTTTTGCTCAATGAACTATTTTTTTTATTCAAGTTTGCGTACCTTTGTCCATTTTTTTTAGGAGTATTTATACCTGAATTAGCAATGATTGTCAAAGATCTCCAGTTTCATCTGGACATTTTACATCTGACACACCATTCCTCGTGCAATGAGTGTTTTCTACTCACATCTCCTCCTATTGAATGCTAGGAAAATGGAAAAAATGCTCAGCCAAATGCCGAGCATTTATGCCACTCCCCGAGTACCCAAATCCCCCAGATCGGCATCCAACATCAACTGAACATTGAATACTCGGGGGGGGAACAATTTCTCGGGAGAGCTGATCGCGTTGTCTCGACGCATCAACCATTAATGCTTAGACATCATGACAGTAGGCTTAGACTCCTAGAAGACAGGTGTTGGCAGGAACGTATTTATTTGCCTTATCAGTATCACTCATTCCGCCATAAATAAGGGGTCATATCGCATTAAATACGATGTTAGTTGTCGTACTCGGCTGCTCCGTGTCACCATATCTCGGCTTACCTCCTCGGCACCCTTTGGATATCCCAACGACTTCATTATTCCACATGTCAACCCAGGGGCTGTAGAGCCACCTAGAGTCCCGCCAACTGCCATCCTTTTCGCAGTGTAAGACAAGTGGCGTAAAGAAATTGGGAGCTCCATCATCACGCCTTATTAATAGCGACGGTTACTTGCACGTCTGGTGCCGCCCTTTTCAAATGCCCTAATGATGACCCAACTTTTCGATTACCACTCCCTGTGAGGCAATATAAATAGGAGGGTTTCATACCTTCTTAGAACTTTTGCATCCTCAACCTCTCCTCAGCAATCAGACCCCGAGTGCTCCTCTGTTCTCCTCCGAGTTTCCTTCGTCCTCTGAGCTCTCTCTTTGAAAACCATCTTCCTGTAAGTATTTTCACTTGAGCTTTTTTTTCCTTCATTTCCTCTACATTTCGTCCTTTTAGCGCCCACCAATGGCTAGAACTAGTAGAACCAAGGGGGAGACGTCTGTTAGGGCTAGGACTACCCACAAGATAAGGAGAACCCAAGTGACTGATGAGAATATCCAATCCTTTAGGGTTAGGTACCACATCTGTGAGTCTGTCTTTGCTTTCCCCTTCAACCCCACTCACCATAGGAGGGATATGGGAAATGTGGACATGATGTCTTTCTGGACGAAGGCCATCATGGAGGGAGGATTGACCTTCCCCTCCATCCCCTGTTGCTGGGAGTGTTGATGCAACTGAAGCTCTTTCCCCTTCAATGTGGGGTTAACTTTTTTAGGATTGTGATGGGCATAGTCGCCTTAAACGCTTGGCTGGGGACCAACTTAGGAGTAGATGAAATTTTATTCTACTACGATCTGAGGCTAGTCGTCGGGAGGCGATATTACCTCCAAGCTCGAGATGCCTCAATGTATCTAGTAACCCATATGCCCGACTCGGACAAAGGGTATGTAGACGATCTGATCATGCTCGACAGAAGTTGGGAGAAATGGACCGGGCCCGAGTATGACGGATTGTACTGCCTCAAAGTGCCGAGGGATGAAGGTGTGTTTTCTTTCTGACACCTTGATTTTGTTATTCTTGGGTCTGAGGGACGCATTGATTTTGCTTTGCTTTTGCAGAAGGATATCGTTGGGACGCTGCTCAACCGTTAAGGTCCCAAGTCCAGTTTGCTGACCTGCTAAGGGTTTGGTCCTTGAACCCAATTGAGTGAGCGACGCATACTCTCATCGGCTACACACCGACTTACAGTCGATTCTCCCAAATCCCACTTCCTTTCAACCCTTCTATTTGGGAAACCATTCCTCGTTGGAAGAGGAAGAATCCGAGGGAGATTTCAAAGAAAAGTCTGATCATCACGCTTCCGAGCCCCTTTCGCTTGAAATGTTTAATCCGCCACCAGTCACCGCTACTACAATGGAGGTCGCCTCCGCGACAAGAAGAGCTAGGCTCGTCGGGTTGGCCGGGCCTTCCAACACTACCTCCATTATCCCCCCGCCTAGTTCTCCTCAGAGGCAATCGTCCCCGCCGTTGCTGCGTACGCAACAATCCAGGGACCCGACCATGCCGACCGGGCAAAGGCCTCAATCTCAACAAGTCCCCGCTCTGGGAGACCGACTGAGGGACAGGCGTGCCCGGAACGTCGAACAATCTGAGGAGCACCGTGTGAAGCGACAGCATGATGCCCGGCCCCAAGCCCGTTTGTCTCGAGCGAGTGGGTTACCAGGGCCGAGACCAGGAGCGGTCGCCCTATTCTAGAAGTCGACTCTATCCTCCAATCCCCCGAAGTGGCGTTTGCTGTCACGGGGACGCTTCAATTTGACACCGATATGACCGTGTACAAAAGTTACTCGGACAATCGGCTTCTGATGAGCACTATCCAAAATAACCTGATGGTAAGTTTAACACTTTTCTGAGTATTTCTGGCACCCTTTTGGTCGTTCCCTAATATTCCTTCTTTTTCAGGCCAGCCAGCAGGTGGGGGTCATAATTGAACGTTTTTGGGAATATAAACAAGAGGCGAAGAACGCCGAGCAAGCCGTAGCTGCTAAGGATGACCACATTCTTAAGGTCGAGAGGACCCTCGACGACCAAACTAAGCACATCGTCGAGCTCATCCACCACCGAGACGCCGTTCATGCCGAGCTAAAAAAGACCAAGGCGGGTGAAGCTGCAATGATAAAGAAGGCCGAGGAGTATGAAATGCGAGTGTCCTCCTCTGAAGCCAAGCTACAAGAGTCTGAGTCTGTAATCAATGCTCTTACTGCTAAAGTGGACTCCTTGACAGCAGAGAAAGCGGGGGAGTAGGAAAAGCTGCAATCGGAATGCCAGAGGGTGTGGGCGGCCACTCAAGACCAAATGGTCCCTACTTTCAAGAAAGCCAAGAAGAAGGCTTTCAAAGAAGGTTGGGACGCCGCCCTTTACGCCTACCACGTCGAGATAGACTCGGACTTGTTCGCCATGCACAGCCTTCGAAGGGAGGCCGATGACGAAGTCTTGGACGAACAGGTCCGATCCGACCTAGGTGACCACGTGGAGGTAGCAGGGCCGGTCGGGGCTGAAGGTGGAAATGAACTCATCACACTCAACGACGATTCTGACCAGCCTTCTTCAACTCTTCCGTCTTTGCCACCTGCTGAGCCAACAAATGATTTGTTCCCTCCTCCGCCCCCCATCATTACTGGGGTGCATGGTACCGAGCTAGATGAGATATTGTGGGTCAGAGACGAGCTACAAAGGTGGCATGGAGGCCTCAACGGGGGAGGAATAGGGGAGGAATGAGCTGAGGGCTTTAGCAGCTACTGGCCTTAGTCATTTCTAGGTTCTGTATTTGTTTTGTAGCCCTTTGTAGCAATTCTTTGTACATAATTTAGTTATTGTTTGTATGCTTGGGGACGCAAAGCCCTTTTTTGATTTGCAATGATTTCCTGCATCAATCGTGTTCCAAGGAAATGGCCTTGACGTTACGTCAATAAGGACCTTCTAAAGTAGCAAGGCTTCACGTCGAATTCATAAAAGTAAACGCGTCGAACTTGCTGTTGGGTCTTTGGACCCTTTGAGACCGAGTATATCTGGAGGTGGACTCTTACACCCTTCGGGGCCATACCCTTAACGACAGAGCACGTGTTAATAATTTGAAGGCGTTACTCCAAGGGTGGAGTCCTAACCCCTCGGGGTCGTACCCCTAACGATCGAGGGTCTGGTTCGTGTTAATAATTTGAAGGCGTTGCTCCAAGGGTAGAGTCTTACACCCCTCGGGGTCGTACCCCTAATGATCAAGTGCCTGGCTCGTGTTAATATTTTAAAGGCGTTGCTCCAAGAGTGGAGTCTTCCACCCCTCGGGGTTGTACCCCTAACGACCGAGCGCCTGACTCGTGTTAATATTTTGAAGGCGTTGCTCCAAGGGTAGAGTTTTACACCCTTCGGGGTCGTACCCCTAACGACCGAGCACCTGACTCGTGTTAATACAACCATAAAGACTGAAACTTGATTTAGTAGTAGTATTTCTTTAAATTCGATACATTCCATGGTTGGATTATATTGTCACCGCTCATATTTTGCAATCGATACGCGCATGTGCCCCCCACAAAGATCACCTTATAAGGGCCCTCCCAATTGGGACCTAGTTTTCCATCAGTAGGCTCGCGCGTATTGCCCATCACTTTTTATAGTACCAAATTTCTGACTTGAAAATCTCTCGTTCGAACCTTTTTTCGGTGCTGCCGTGACAATTTCCCATGGTACCTTGCTAGCTTGATGGATGTCGATGACCTCCTTTCCTCGGCTAAATTGAGATCTCTAGCGAGAGTTTGATCATTGTTTTCCAATTCGAAGGCTCGGCTCTATATTGTAGGGAGCCCCACCTCCAAAGGGATTACA